GCTGGAGAAATCAGACTGAGGTGACCACGAGGCTGCAGATATTTCACAATGTGGACTATGGAGCGTCAACCCTGAAACCATCTCTCCTCTGCCTGGGCAGCTTTCTCATGACCATTCTTTTCTCTTCTTCCGTCTTTGTCCTTCTGTGTGGCCCCTCTTCCAACACCCTTACCCGCTTCTCCCTGCCTCTGTCTGTGTCTGTCCCTCCCTGCCTGGCTCACGCCGAGGGCAGGCGCCTCTGTCAGCCTCCTCGCAGTGGTAGTTATTGTGTGTGGCGTGGCCCTGGTGGCAGTTTTTTTCTTTCTTTTTTGGAAGCTGTGCTGGATGCCCTGGAGGAACAAGGAGGCCTCCAGTCCCTCTTCTGCTAACCTCCCCCCAGAGGCCCTCCTGAGCCCCAGCTCCAGAGGCAACATGGCAGACAAGCTGAAGGACCCCAACACTCTGGGCTTCCTAGAGGCAGCTGTGAAGATCAGCCACACATCCCCAGATATCCCGGCCGAGGTGCAGATGTCAGTCAAGGAGCACATCATGCGTCACACACGGCTGCAGCGACAGACCACAGAGCCAGCATCATCCACCAGGTGAGGGGTGGACCTCTCTTTGCCCTAACCTGCACACGTCCACATTGCTGTATTCAGTACATTAGTGAGAGTCCAGCCTGTGAGGATCGGAGACCAGGAATAATAACACGTGTACTCTGGAGAATGTATCAGATGATTTGCTCCACGGTGGGGGATCAAGTAGGAGGTGGGCACCAGCAAAGACTTCAGGAAAGGGGAACCTTTGAGGCACATGGTGTGCACTGGGATGTGTGTGTGGGGGAGTGTTGGGTGTTTGGAGGGAAAGAAAGACTTCAGGCAGAGGGAAGAGAATATGCAAAGGCCCAGAAGCATAAAGGTTCATTGTGTATCTACAGATATGTCAATAAAGCCTTGTAGATAGAGTCTGTGGTGCATGGGTGATAAGGCAAGAGATTCCTAACATTTTGAGAATGAGGATTCCTTTATAACCTTTGACAGAGTTCCCTGTGTGACAATTGTATACATGGCATTCTTTAACTGAAAAAACAACCACCACCACTTACTGACAAAAACCTACTAAATTCAGAAACACCTTTGGAAGAAGTGGAGCATGGGGGTATGAAGCATTGTATTCTTCAAACCTTAGGGCTCTTGTGGATTCCTGGGTCCCTGCAATGTCTCCCCAGGCTCCCAGGGGACTAGCCAAAGGCAAAGAGGCCTGGTCCTCAGATTGGAGGCCAGGAATGAAAGTGCTAAGGTTACATGTGCAGAGTTTATTGTATGGCCGCAGGCAGGTTGCTCACCTTTCCTAAGGCTCACTTTCCTGAAGTGTAAAAGAGGGCTGATGACACTCATAAGACTGCTATGGGGCCCATGAAAGAATCCATGTAATAGTGAGAGCTAATGATATCTCGCTTATTATACACCTGGCCCTGTTCTAAGCACTTTATATGTATCAATTCACTTCATCCCCACAGCAATCCTATGCAATTGCTACTTTTATTACTCTCATTTTATAGCACAGAGAGGTTAAATAACTTGCCCAAGGTCACATAGCTAGAAAGTGGCAAAGCCAAAATTAACCTATGCAATCTGGGGCCAAAGCCCAATACATGTTAACTAGTTGGTGCTAATGATGAAGGGAAAGCCACATCGAAGGTAGGAAAGATGGCCCCTCTCCTAAAGGAGCTCGTGGTTTAGTAGGGGAACCAGAGTCATGTCTACTGGGAAAGAAACCTAGAAAGCAGGTGTCAGAAAAGCAGGGAAAATGATGATGATGGCAATGGCTACCATTTATTGAGCTCACTATACACCAGGCCCCATTCCAAAGACTTTTCAAATAAGACGTGTAATGCACACAACAACCTGTGCACAAAGTGTGTGCAGAGGGAAAAGAGGCAGACAAGAGGGAGGAAAAAGGCACCCCACAAGGGGTAGGATGAGCCAGGACCGCGGGGTTGTGTCTGCTTGCATCCCTTCCCCAAGCCCTGACCACACTCTCTGGCCCCCTCCTGCCCTCCGCCAGACACACGTCCTTCAAGCGCCACCTGCCAAGGCAGATGCACGTCTCCAGCATGGACTATGGTAATGAGCTGCCCCCGGCAGCAGAGCAGCCCACCAGCATCGGCCGCATCAAGCCTGAACTCTACAAGCAGAAGTCAGTGGACGGGGACGAGGCCAAATCTGAGGCCACCAAGAGCTGCGGGAAGATCAACTTCAGCCTGCGCTATGACTATGAGAGCGAGACCCTGATTGTGCGCATCCTGAAGGCCTTCGACCTCCCTGCCAAGGACTTTTGCGGCAGCTCTGACCCTTACGTCAAAATCTACCTCCTGCCCGACCGGAAATGCAAGCTGCAGACCCGGGTGCACCGAAAGACCCTGAACCCCACCTTTGATGAGAACTTCCACTTCCCCGTGCCCTACGAGGAGCTGGCTGACCGCAAGCTGCATCTCAGCGTCTTTGACTTTGACCGTTTCTCCCGCCATGACATGATCGGAGAGGTCATCCTGGACAACCTCTTTGAGGCTTCTGACCTGTCCCGGGAAACCTCCATCTGGAAGGACATCCAGTACGCCACGAGTGTGAGTACAGCCCTGCACCTGGGCTTCTTGAGGATTTGTAATTCTGGGTTGAGTGGGATGTGTCCCCATTCCCCTGACCCCTAGAGACAAATGGGCCTTTGCCCTTCAGGATCTGAAGGGGTACTCTAGAAACTAGAAACAATGGCCCAGCCCACCCTGGGGAAGTCCTTGCACTCTGCCCCAGGTTGGGGTGGGGGCAGCAAAGCCCCCATGTGGGAGGGAAGGGAAGGGAAGGGAATTTTTATCTATTTCTTCTGATCCCATGTTCTGGGGTGGTTGTCTCTACCTGCTAGGCCTTAGGTGTACCACCTATAAAATCAAGTGATATATCTCTTTGAGATATGGGTAAGGGTTGGGCCAGGCCCATAGACTGAGTCACACAGCAGCATCTGTCAAGGACATTGATGTGTACTAGAAGCCTGGAAAAGGCCATCAAGAACGGGCTATATAAATCAGGATGAACAGGTTATGCTGCAGCAATAAATAATGCTAGGATTTGGTAGCTTAAAGCAACCGAGGTTTAGTTCTCCTTCATGTTACATGTGCTTTGCAGCCTGGCTGGGGTTCTAGTCTCCCTTGTTACCCAGGGATCCAAGACGACGGAAGCTCCATTTCTACATGTGCTCTCAGAGTTACCACATCAGGAGGAAGAGGATGTGGCAGATCATGCACTGTTTCTTAAAGATTCCACACAGAAGTAACACATATCACTTCCACTCACATTTCATTAGCCAAAGCAAGACACATGGCAACTCCTAATATCAAGGGGGCAGGGCAGAGCAATCCTAGTACCTGCCCAGAAGGAGCACTGGAAGTACTTAATGACCAACACTAGTGACTACCACCCAGCAGAGCCTCTTCTCTTAGGCATTGCCTGCCCAGGCCAGTCTGGGAGACCGGGGAGGCTGTCCTGAAAGGAGACCTGGGAGAGGGGGTGGTTAGCTGTTCACAATTAACTGCAATTAACCAGGGAAGGTTTCAAGAAGCTGAGGCTCAGATAGGCTTTTAAGAGGGAGGACAGGTGTGGCCCAGAGGATTAGGAGAGCATATCCAGAGCCAATCAGTCCAGTGTAGATGATGTGCTCCAGTCTACTGGGTGGCTGTTGAGGAAGCTGTAACTGTGTCCCGCAAGCATAGGTGGTGTGCCTCTCTCTCAGCCCAGCTGTGCAGCTGAGAGCCCAGCAGGGGCGTTTCCACCACACACCAATGGCCTTGTGTCTGGAGTCTTGAGTGCTCACTGGTTGTGTGTCTCCCTGGATGTTTCTTGCACCATTTCTCTGGAGCAGGGGTGACCGCACTCAGTCTGTAGACCCTCTCTTTGGACAGTCAATACTCAAAATCTCTGTGTTGAATTTGTGGGGAGAGAGGCTGGGAAAATCAGCCCCACTCTGGTGGGAAAAGGGTAAGAAACTTGATTTGTTCAAAGAGAGAAAGCTTGATGGGCTCTGTTTCTGCCCCAGGGAGAATGACACCCCATTCTCATCGCTGGTGCGGACTTGGACCAGTCTGGTCCGATGTCCCAGTGCCTCCCCCACCTTTGTTTTCTTGAAATGTCATCCCCAAGAACAGCACAAGCAGCGGGGCCAGCAGACAGACGGGGCGGGCAGACGGGGCGGGCTGGAACAGCAGCTGTGCGCCAGCCCCAAGCCCAGGAGCCCTGCTCCATAAATCACTCTGAAGTTTACATCTGGTGCCTCTCTTCCCCTGTGGTCTTGTAAGGCAGCAGCTTCATCACAGTGACTGTACAGGTAGAGAAAAGCAGCTCAGTCCTCCCAACACTGAGATCGAGGCCTAGGAGCTCAGAGAGACAGGGGCTGGGGGGCAGGGGTGAGGCCAGGGCTGCAGGAAGCAGAGCTCAGCTCAGCCCTCTGAGGAGCTTCCCTTCTCCTCACCAGAGTCCTCCCCTCCCTCTCCTGTGACTTTAGCTCTGGGCATTACAGAAACCCCAGCCGTGGAGTGGGCAGTCGGTGCCCAAGCACACCCCTCACCTGGATGCTGACTTCCTAGATCTTAGAACACTGTGGCTGTCCCTGCCCTCATCCCATCCCCCTTCCCCAGCCCAGCTGCAAAAAAAGGCAGATCATCCAAAAGGTGCCAGACAAATTGCCACCATCCTCATCATCCTCACTCATCTCCTCCTAAGCAGAACACTGTGCCAGGCACTGGGGAGTGAGGGGGGGCTGGGACGGAAGACAGCCCCTTCAAACCACAGAAATGCATCGTCTAATTACAGAGACAAGAAGTGTCCGTCTAGTAGCTAGCAGTGCTAAGTAGCAAATACTATATCCTGTGTGAGGTTGCAAGACCTGAGAGTTAGGACAGCCAGAGAAGGTTTCCTGGATGGGAGGGAATTAAGCTAGGTAGGGAGGGACTGGTATACTAATGTGGTAGACAAAAAGGAAGCGGAAGCATTCTAGCCAGGAGCAGAGGGAGTCAGGCCCCGGAGTGTCCGCCGCTGAAGAGCGGTGACCACGCTCACGTGCCCTGTCTTGCTTGCAGTCTGTCTGAGCTGGATGTTCCGCCCAGGGAGGGCCCCTGGGGCCCTCCAATCTGCAGCGTCGCTAGTGGGCTGGCTCTCAGGAGCAGTCTCCTCATCCTGGTGGGCGTGGAATCAGGCAAAACAGGGGAAGGGAAATAAGAAGGCTAGTGCTTTTACCTGGTTTTTGGTGCTGACTCTAAAATTGTACTTATTTGGGGGCCAGAGAGGCCCAAGTCACAGTCATCGGGAATGACTGAGCACTTGGTGTGCATGAGGTCCTACAGCCAGCGCGGCGGGGGGCGGTACAAAGATCACAGCCAGCCAGCTCCCATGTCTCCTGCGGGTGGGATTCTCTTCCTAAAGTTGCATTTTGGCCCCAAGTTCCAAGTTCAGAAGTTGGAACTCCGGCAGCTCCTTTGCCCCCCAGGCTGGGCCCTGAACGTGCCCCACATTCCTGCCTCTTGCCTTGGCTTAGAAGCCTCCCTGGGTCAGGCAGGCCTTTCCCCACCTCTCGGCCTGGCCCAAACCATCCCACCTGTCAAAATTCCCCCTGAGCCCTTCTGCTCTCACAGCAACCACTCCTCCAGATTTATTCTCTGTGTCCCTCAGTTATATCCTGAATCATAGTCTGTCTTGCAAAGTTCTCCGAATGGCTGAGGAATGGCTTGTGTCCCACATTTGACTTTCTCTTGTATTTTCCTTCAGGGCAGAGTGGTGTCATTTTATGCAAACGTAAGAACTCAGTACATTCTTGTTGAATGACCCATGGCTTAGTTAATTTCATTAAAACTATATGTTGGTGCACAAGCAAAGGACTGTTAAAGAAGCAATAGGAGTTGGGTGCAGTTAACCTAGGAGGGCTTCCTGGAGGAGGAGGTCAAGTAGTATTTTGAAAGTGGATAGAGCCAGGCTTGGTGGGGAGAGACCCAGCCTGTGCATTCCTTCAGAGGTGTGGTTCAGGTAGATGGTTTGTGTCTGGAGTGGCAAAGAGATTAACCAGTCAGATCAGGTAGTCTGGACTGAAGTAGAGGGTCAGTGACCTACAGGCTGGGTAGGAGGAGAGGCACCATGAGAACAGGGGCACAGGAGGCTGCTCTGAGGTCCCAGGAGTCCATGAAGGCTGTCCCCTTGTGGCTCCCGCGCTTATATTGGAGAATCAGATTCAGCCCTGTAGGTGGAACCAGAGGTGTCCCTTGTTTCAGCCCTGCCCCAGTGCTCAAGTTGGTTTGCACTAGCAAAGCCTGGAGCATGTGTGTTGTTTTCTCACAACCACTGAACATGGAGCTTCAAGGCTAGTGAAGGGGAGGCGTACATCCAGGGAGTCTAGCTCTTTGTTGATTGCAAATCTTAAGCCGCAAGGGACACTCTTCTCCCCACCCCCAGGCTGTTCTGGAGGGAAGCCTAGGTGGCAACAAGTAATACACTCCTTAATACACTCCCCTCCGGGGCTGGAGGGTGAGAAGCAGGCAAACCGGCAGTGCTGGGGCGGTTGGTCCGAGGCCTCTACTGTTCCACTGAATCAAGCAGCTCAGGCGCGGGAAGGAGTTGAGGGAGTTGACCAAATCCACTCCAGCCCTGGGCAGGGCTGCCCCTGGTGCTCCTGCTGCCCCCGTCCTGCCTGACTTGACTGCGGTCCCTGATGATCTCCTGGGCATTCCCAGCAGCTTGCCATTTCCTCTCCACCCAGAACTTCGATTGGTAGAGATCACACTGCTCTTCCCTTCCCCCTCTTCTGCCCCCAGTCTCATTATTTCTCTATAAAGCTGTAGATTTATCATTATAATAGAGCCACCGTCAGAGGGGTTTGCTAACATCTCTGTAATCTTGTAGTTATTGCTGCAGAGGCCTCAGACCCCAGTGCACATGACTGTTCCCGTTGCTATTCCTGCTCCTTCATGGCGGTGGGAGGTGAAGGCTGTAATTGGGGCCGTAAATATGTGTTGTGCTTGCTGGCATTAATGGACTTGGCCATCTCCCTGCCTCACCAGGTCCCCACCAGGTCAGAGTGAGTGTGTGTGTGCGTGTATATGTGTGTGTGCATGTGTGCACACGCCTGTGTGTGTTGTTTGGGGGGTGAAGGAGTGCTCTGTGTACTTCCAGGGAGCCTGGACCCGGAGTCTGCAGGGAGGAAGAGAGGCCTCAAGAGGTGGAAGGGTCTCCGGCCTGGGAATGAGCAGAGCCGTACAGAAAGGGCTCAGGCTTTGGTGCCAAACACACCTGTGTCACATCCCAGCTTCTGCACTTTAGCTTTGAGACCTTGAGGACATTATCTACACCGTGCCTCATTTTCCACATCAGCAAAATAGGGATAATAATGGTATATAGCTCATAGTTGTATTATATGTTGTAGATTAAATAAAATACATGAGATGCCTAGGACAGCACTGTCACAGAGCAGCCTCCTGAGCCCCATTCTCATTGTGTCTTTCCTTCTAGCTGAGCCTGTGGGTCACTATTTGTACCACTCCTAGCCTGACCCCCTACTTTGGTCCAGACAACCCGTTCGACAGGTTGTTGGTTA